GGCAGAGACTGAAGGCCAGCCTCGCGCACCAGGTGTCCTCCTCGCTGAACGGCAGCGGCACGGCTCTGGGGTCCGCGAGCACCATGGTGACCTCCCGTCCGGAGCAGGGACAGATCCTTCTCCAGCACCCGGACGCGCCCTCCCCCGCTCAGCCGCAGGTCTGCGCCCTCCTCTTTGCAGAGCCAGTGACTGAAAAGGGGGCTGGAGGGAGCGGTCGCTCTGCGTCCAGTGTGCGGAGCTGTGGGGCTTCACGCTAAGCGCTCCTTTGTGTGGCGGCCGCTCCCCTCGCGGCACACGGGCCCGGTCACTGGCCGTGCTCTGGCTTTCGGAACGAGTGTCTGGCTGTCCTCTCTCGTTTGCAATGACACTCCCCCTCGGGCAGCCAGCCCCGCTTGTCCTGCCAGTGAGCCGATTGCCAGCCTTCCATCCACATCGCCACCTGCTCCATCCGTGAGCCAGGCTCCCAAAGTTTAATGCCCATATGCTGCCTGACAGCGAGGCGGGCAGGGTAGCTGGGCTGTGGAAGGACAGGGCCGATCCGGGTCCTTCCTCCCCTCCGAATACAGCGGGAGCAGGTTAGCGCGCAGCTGTGTGTTGGGGTGGGAGGGACGCACGAGCCCGCATCCCCTTGAGAAGTGTCAGCTGGGCCTATGAAGATGGCTTGGCTTAGCTGAGCTTCCTTCTGGCGCTGCAGACCAGAGTAAATCCCACAGTAGGAAGCTGAAGAGTCGTTTGTTTGGTTTTAATAACTGAGGCAGATGCTAGGGCCTGGCTTCTCGAGCTGGTGGAAATAAACCAGGTGTGGTCTGCAGGCTTCTCCCTTCCAGCCAGCCTCCTGCTCGCCTGTGGCACCAGCTTCTCCACTCACCCGCCGGCTCATCCCTGCAAAGCTGGGCCGTGACTTTGATACGGGCAAACAGCTGCTGAAGAGCAGAGGGAGGCTGACCCATTTCTTCCTGCTTAATCGCCGGATATGGGATTTAAACGGTTGTCTCCGTAGAAAAGCAGGACATGGCTCCCCGCGACCCACCACGTGGCTAGCGATCGCCGCGGTGATAAAACACACCCCGGTTGTGCTGACCCTGAGAGAGCCGCTCCAAATCGAGAGGCTTCGTTGTGCGTCCGGGACGCATTGCCCCCCACCCCCGAGTCCCAAGGGTGGTACTTGGGAGCCCGTTTGGATATGGTGTAGGACTGAGACTCAGGAAACCTGGATCTCCATCCAAGCCTCCCATTGTGACCCTAGGCAGGTCCCTTCATCTTCCTCTCTCCCGGCCTGTGGAATAAGCGTTAATACACTCGCTTGGGCCAGATTCATTGGCCTGTGCAGCACCTTGCGAATGCGGGCGGGGGCTCTGGAGAAACAGATGGGTTTTCAGTTTCACAATCAGCATCTGTCAATCTTCCGTCCTGCGTCCCCGAGCCAGTTGGCTTTGGCTTTTGCTGCCGATGCTGCCCAGTCAGGGTGGGTAACCGTCTGGTTCGACCATGTGGATTTGTGCCAGTCGTTCTTCCTTCTGCCCCGACTCCAGGTCTCCCCTGCCCAGCCCACGCCGAGCACTGGCGGCCGACGCAGACGCACGCTGGACGAAGACCCGGATGAGCGCAGGCAGCGTTTCCTGGAGCGGAACCGTGCTGCCGCCTCTCGCTGCCGTCAGAAACGCAAGTTGTGGGTGTCTTCCTTGGAGAAGAAAGCGGAGGAGCTCACGACACAGAACATCCAGCTGAGTGTGAGTACATGGCCGTGGACACTGGGCAGGCGTGCTTGGCTGCTCTGTGGCTTCCCCGTGGTGTTGAGTCCGAGGGAAACCAGGCTCCCCACGGACGAGTGACTAGAAACGCTGCCGGGGATTTGTCCCGCGTTTCTTCTTTTGTTGTCCCCCGCCTGTCCCGGCAGCACCACGCGCTGTCCCGGGGGCGCCCCCGCCTGGCCCAACAGCTTGGGCTGGCTCTGACTCCAGCCCTGTAAAGCAGAAGCTGAAGGTGGGGGGGGAGGAATAAGAGGAAGGGGCTTTTGCGGTGGGGGAGGGAGAAAGGGGAAGGGGCTTGTACGGAGGGGGAGAGGAGAGGGGGAAGAAAGGGGATGGCACCAAAGGGACAGGGTAGAGGAGACACAAGTGCTAGGGGGGAAGTGGAGACCATGAGGGAAAGGGCAGGAGGGGAGGTGTCAGTGGGAGGGGCAGGGTGATGCTGGGAGAGGAGAGGGCCTGGGGATTGGAGGGGGAGGTGCTGGGAGAAGGCTTGACAGAAGGGGTGGGCATGAGGAAGGCAGGGATGGAGCAAGTGGCACCAAAGGGACAGGGTAGAGGAGACACAAGTGCTAGGGGGGAAGTGGAGACCATGAGGGAAAGGGCAGGAGGGGAGGTGTCAGTGGGAGGGGCAGGGTGATGCTGGGAGAGGAGAGGGCCTGGGGATTGGAGGGGGAGGTGCTGGGAGAAGGCTTGACAGAAGGGGTGGGCATGAGGAAGGCAGGGATGGAGCAAGTCGTGAGAGGGCACAGAGGGGCATGAGGGGAACGGGGGCAGAGGGTGGTGAGGGGGTGGGCATCAGGGAAGAAAGGGCAAAGGGGGCGGGGCAGTGAGGGAAGGGGGGGCACCAGGAGGGTGCAGGTGCCAGGGGATTCTGGGGGTGAAGCAGAAGGGCAGGGACCAGCACCAGAGTAGAGAGGCAGGG